CCCCGGCTGGCAGAGGGCAATGAGCAGGTTCTGATCGCCGACTTTTCGCAGTCTGCCTCAGTCCCCCTGCAGCCTGCGCGGCCCTTGGTAACCCGGGCGACGACCGAGCCAGTATAATTTTCGATGGCGTCAGTGCCATGAAGGTCAAGTGGCAATACGGAGACTGTCACGGTCTCCAACTCTCCTCCTTTCTCAACGTACTTGGGACCGGCAACGGCGGAGTTGTATAAATCCCGTTAATCTTAAATATTTTGTTTGAAGCAATTTGCAAATTTTTTGAAGCTTTTGCTAATTTGAAAGTCGGGCAGATTTTCCACGGAATGGCGCAAATCCTTGTCCATGGTAACGAGGTGAACAGTTTCTGAACTTGCTTGAACAATCGCATTCATGGTTAATTACGTGCAGGGTAGGCTCAATCATGTGTTAGATATATTAGTTTAAAGTTTTTTTCTTGCTTGATGAGCATAGATATCGTGGGACCGCTGCGCATGGAAAAAGATTCATCGACTATTTTTTTAGTTTGATTGATTAGAAGTACTCTTATTATCTTGTGAGATTGAAAAATGAAACTGCATTGTGATGGTTCGCATGGTCGATAGGGTGGTCGTTAGTATTGGCTGTATTTGCGATTGTCGATAAGCTGTCTAAATGCCCTTGTCCGTTCGTATTTTTGGTCATATTAAGACAGAGCATTTCGAAACCATATTTTACGTAGCGAACGATCCTCGGTGAAGTAAAACGATGAGAGATAGGCTAAAACAGTGGCAGCGGCGTCACGTAGGACTGGCAATAATCGCGCTTACACCACGACAAGTGGTGGTAGAATTGCCAGATCGATGAGCTCTGACAGCACGAGTTACTTGACTGGAAAAGTGGCAGTAGCGGCAACGTGTGGACGCAAGCCGGTTATGATACTTGCGCTTCAGACGGCTTGTGAGACGAGGAAAAGCGATCGCTACCGTAGACAGCGATTCTACAATCGAAGACTACGTCACACACACGAGCAATATGAGTGACTGATGAACTTGCTGTGCTGTTCGATATCCCCTGCTAAGCTTAAATTGAGCGACAATAATTAATAATTTTTAATCGAAGTTCAAATCGCGTTTGCGGTTATAACTTAGCTTGCTATCCAGAGGGCGCAGATTCGTATTGGCGCCGCGCTAGCGTTAATGTTCACTACATCATAGCGGTTGCATCAAATAATCAGCCGTCACCTTCCGCGGCGTTTTATTGAGGTGTAGCGCTCGGCTTGCTGTGGAAAAATATACGCGTGTGCGTTTGTGGTGGTAGCGGCAGTTGTTTGCTTGTTTTCGTTTGCGTTTGACGGTGAGGCGGTCGGTCGCAGATACGTTTTGCTAAGCCTTTAGTGAAGTATAAATCAGCTGCGCGGACGCGGTTGTGATTGACACGCATGCGTATGCGTATGTGTTAATGTGCGTGTGGTCGCACATCCCAATGAATAAGCAACTTTACAAGCCTACGAGCATTAGTCAATATTTAATTAGCGACACATGCTTATTAATTTGGCATTAGACTGCATTGAACATAAAACAATCGCAGATCAATTAGAAAGTTTTGTGCACCTAGCGGACATCGTCGTCATGTCACTGTGATCTTGTGTCTGTCCGAACGGCTCCTGCCGTC